CCAGTTTTATTTTTTGTAAATGAGGAGATGAACTCAGGTGATCGCCCTATATTCAACTTTTTATTATGGGAAATATTCAAACATACGCAAAAGTAGAAAGAATAAAGGACTCCCATGTGAATATCACCCAACTTTTACATTTTTTCTATGCATGGCATATCATGTCTCATTCATAAGTCCACTCACTTTATCACTACCAATCCTCCCTATTTTTTTTCACAAAATTCAAGCTTTATATACATCTTTTCAACTGTAAACATTCAGTATGCATCCACAAAATTTAAGAACTGTTTAAAAATAACCACAATGTCATTAGACGATTCTTTTAAATTTCAGTGTAATTTACACCTAGTGAAATGCTCAGATGTTGTGTCCCTTTAAATCAGTTTTGAAAAAACCATGCATTGGTGTAACCCACACTATTTTGAAGACACAGGACATTTTCATCACTCCAGACAGTTACCTTGCACCCTTCATGTGCACATTCTAGAATGTCATAAAAATCTAATCACGTAGTATAAACTTTTTTATATCTGTCTGACTTCTTTTACTCAGCATAGTATTTGTGAGGTGATTCATGTCATTGCATGAATCGGTGGTTTGTTTTTTATTGCTTTTTGTTGTTTCTTTTTATTACTGTTAATAGTGTAAGTTTTCCATTGTGTCTTATTACAACTAGTACTTCAATAGGCTATTACAACAATTATTTAATATATTATTTCATATGACGTATTTATAGTATAACAGTGACCTCTTTGAGACCTGGTGCTTTGAGTCAAATAGGTAAATAAAATGAGATATTTTAGGTCTCATTACCAGACCAATGTGAGATAATTATTTTTCGACAGTTGCATTTCTTATAACATTTGACATGATTCTACACTTTTATATGGTAATTTGTTAGTACTTTCGCAAAGGACTAATGTACTATGTTATTTAGTCATAACAAGCAGATAAATTACATTTTATGTAGCTTTTACAGACAGAGAACCTGAGCTCCAAGAGCTTTGGTGATAGGCTGAGATCATCTAGCTTTTTTAAGTGGCGGAACTGTGACAATTTAGCAGAAACTGTTACAGAAGGCACAATTGTCTCCTGAATTAGCGATTTCTGTCTGAAGCCTCACAGATTGGGTGTGGTAAAGGGTGAGAATGAAAAGGGTAGAACCCAGCTGTGTTAGAAATAGCCTTCAAATTTGGATGTGACAATGGAAATCAAGATGAACTTATGTTATTATAAAACAGTTCATTCATATTTAAAGTTTTGCCTTTTGTGTACTGGTATTTCTTAATAGGGGGAGACGCTTTCTCACTACCCACAAAAAAAAAGAAAACTGTAAACTAATTTCATTGTCATTTTGAACTACAACTATATGTTTAACTTTTTTCACTCCTCAAAATGCCTTGAACACAGTAAACATCCAATGAACTTTTAATTACAAGTAATATTGATAGTGATATTGCATATGTTCTAGATCTGTGTTCTTAAGGAGGCAAAGCTGCTCAAGTTCAAAGAAGGGAACTAGAAGTTAAAATAAAGATTTTTTTTATTTTTGTTTTCATTATTGATGTACGGCATTGTCTTCAGTAAATCTTTAGCCTCTCTGAATATAATGTTAAACTAACTGAATGGCTTGTACCCCATAAGAAATATGAAGTAATAATGTACTTGGAAGCATTACTAGCACGCATGTTCTCTTCATAAGTACCATATTCAAGTTTGGTTTTCTCTTTGCTAAGTGAGATATAAATATTTTACCACACCTTAATACGATTGTTTTATCTGGATTTAATTCATTAATTTTGCTATAGATTAACATTCTGTGAAATATATGCTTAACCTAGACTTTGTCTACCCCCATAGAACAACTGAATTTTTAGGTATAGTATGTGGTAAACTTGTGCTATAGCAAAGACAGCAGAGTAGAATGGCATGAAAATAAAGACGCTGCCTACTAACAAATGATTAAAGAGAGGTCTGATTGAATGTGTTTAAGTGAAGACAATACAATCTTTACTGTGTTTGGATAATATTCCATATTTGTTGTGAACACAAGGGATGATGTAATGTTGATGCTGGAGCCACCTGCTTCTTATTCTCTATCTGCACCTTCCTCTCACCTTCTGTAAACGTGTGAGAGAGATGAGGTAGTGAGATCTCGGTAGGCTTCTCCTGTAATTTCACAGTGGGTACAGTAGAGAAAGCCTAATGAGTACTATTGGGAGAGCATTATGTATGATTTTGGAAAAAGGGTGAGTGTGAGATGGGGGAATAAGGTTACTCTGAAGAAATATGAAGAGCAATGAAGGAGCACAGTGTTCAGGTTCCCTAATTTGACCCCATGGCCAACTTCATATTGTTTCCACTAGATATCATTTTAAATATTCCTGTGGTTTTGTGGTCCTAAGAATATGAAAGAATGCAAGATGTTAAAGCCAGATAGAAAAGACATTTAAATATTTCAAAATCTAACAAGTTCAAATGACTTTAGTATTAGAAAGAAAAAACACATTAATGAGCCCAAGAAATACATTCAACTCTGCAACTCTGGTGAGCGTGATAGACTTCTAAGAGTAAATGTACTAGATACAACCTAAATTCAGGGACTTATCAAAGCTCTACTACTCATTAGCAGTGACTCAGAGCAAGTATCTACAACCTGTCTAATCTCTAGTTTTCTCACTTAAAATGAGAATGATATTTTACTTGTCTTGTTTGATTGTGGTAAGGAATGAATAATGTGGTTCATAGCAAAGAGCCAGGCAGAGTGGAAGCTCTCAGTACAAGTGGCTATTGTTATTATCTAGTCTTTATGTTTTGGGTGTCCTAGGACACGCTTTTTTTTTTTTTTTTTTTTTTTTCCATTGCAGTAGATTTCCACCTATTCCCGTCCTCCACAGTCTCCCATCCCACCAGCAACACACATGAGATATCTGATGCCTTCCCATCAATAACTCTCACTTAGTATAGCAAAAAATTTCCAACCAGGGATGGAAGTTGTGGAGAGATAGAGTGGGAAAGGTCAAGGAGCATTGATAGGGGTCATTAATTAAAAAATCTACCAAACATCTCTTTTCTCTCCCTAATGTGTGAGTTACAATAACATCACTCAAAGCAGTTTGCAGCCACAGCTTGAAGAAATACAGTAACAACGACAGAATTAACATTCACTATCTTTACTAACATTTTTATGTTCTTAAATCTGGTTTCTTTCAAAAGACTTTGGCATAGTCCTGTATGAATTATGTGGATTTGCCAAGAGAAAAAAATAAAATGATACAACAAATAGTGTTCCAAGTTTGACAGACCCTTTGTGTCAGTGGCTCTGAAA